GTACACTGAACAGTAACAGGGAAAAGGGATGGCTAGTGGAGAGAAGACAGTGAGTTCAGTTTTGGACATGCTGGATTTAAGTACTCTACAAGGCATCAAGTTCAAGATGTCCAAGAGGAAGTTGGAGATGAGAGAAATGATTATTTCTTTCTCATATTAATAACCAATTATTGAATTAGGATTAAAGGGCTTTCCAGTTCCTTATTCATTGTAAGAAATTTTGGGGAAAACTTACCCAACCAGGCTGAGAGAATTAGTGAATTCCTGCTCATTGTGTTTGGTCTGACAGGTCTGGAGCAGAAGTGGATTCCCCCTTTGATATGTATATTGATAAGTCTCTTTGACCAAGAATTGGGAGATCCAAGTCACATACCCCCAAGACCCTCATTAAGATGAGCCCACATCTCACTTTAATATTCATTTTCTCATTGTGAGCCAATTAGATTGCCACCCTCAAGAACACTCACTCTTCCAAAGGCATATAAACCGTGAGCCCACCACCATGAAGGTCTTTGGCATTTGAGAGTGCCACTGACTTCTTTTATAAATAATATGCTAGCATTGTTAATAAAATGATTAATTACCCAAAACCATGACTCTCAAATGTTTTAAATATCACAGAGATGCCAGACTGGAGGTCAAAAGAGAGGCTAGGACTAGATAAGTGGATTTGAGAATCATCTGCAGAGATGATAATTGAATCCATGGGAACAGATGATACCAAGTGCAACAGTATAAGAAGAAGAGTCCTTTCAGCCTTAGTGGCATGACCTGGATGAAGATCAGCAAGGGAGAGTAAGGAGTAGTCAGGAGGTAGGAGAACATGGAAAGAAAAAACCAAGAGAGAAGACAGTACCAAGAAGAGAATGCTCAACAGTGTCAAAGGTTGCAGAAAGGTCAAGAAGGAAGAGAACTGATAAAAGGTCATTAGATTTTGCAATTAAGAGATTATTAGTAACTTTGGAAAGAGCAGTTTAAGTTGAATGTGGTTGCAAGCCAGACTATTGCTAGTACAGAGAGTAAAAGGAAAGAAGTAAAGACACCTATTATAGATGACCTCAAGGAGTTTAGACACAAAAGGGAGAAGAGATATGTGACAATAATTTTTGGGGGTAGATGGGTCAAATGAGGGTTTTTGAGGGTAGGGGAAGCAAAGGCATGTGTGTAAGTAGTAGAGAAATGACCAGCAGACAGCAAGAGATTGAAGAGAAGGTAAGATGTGGATGATAGAGAGGGACAATCTGCTGAAGGAGACAAAATAGAATGGGATTGCTTGTGCAGGTAGAGAGGTTTGCCTTGGCAAAGAGACCCTCCCCTTCATGTGAAATGGGATGAAGGAGATAATGACAGAAAGCATCTGGGTGATGGAGATGAGGAGGGGGAAAGATGGAGCTTTCAGTAAATGTTGTTAAATACTTACAGTAAAATGTGAGGCAAGGTTTTTAGCTGAGAAGATGATGGGCCTGGGGGAACCATAAAAGGTTTGGAGAGAGAAAAAAAGGTTCAGAAGAAGTTGTGGTGAGTGGAATAGTAAATTAGGAAAATGTAAAGGGATTGCTTTGCAACAATGAGAGTCCAATAGAGGTGATATAACAAATTTATAGTGGATCTAGTCTGCACGATTTAGTGATTTTATTCAGCTTTGTTCAGCAGCATGTGTGAAAGAGCAGACGCACTGGATGGTCAGAGTTATCCAAGGCTGAGGTTTGGCAAGGAATGATTGGTAATATCTTAAGGAGGCCAGGGACTCAAGAGAAGATAGCATAGAGTTGTACTGATTCACCAAAGGGTCAAGATCAGGAAAGGAAGAAGAGTGTAGCTAGTGCAGGGACAATAGCCTGGGAAAGAATTGAGGGGGTCAAGGGATTTGAGATCACAGTGTGGAGGAAAAACAGGATTTAGCATTGCAAAAGCAGAGGGAGAGGTGAAATGACATTAGATTGTGATCACATATGGGAATCTCAGAGTTCATGAACAGAGAAGTAGAATATTTGTGATGGCAAGATTAAAGTTATGACAATCTTTATGGTGTGACTAAGGTGAGAAGGAATAATAGGCCATGTGAAACAAGTAAGTTGGTGATCTGTGAGGTTAGGGTGCTTGAAGGTGTATCAATATGCATACTTATATCCCCTGGTATGAGGGAAGAAGTTGGACAGGCAAGAAAGATTGAGCCAGGCACTAAACTCATTGGGGAAAGGAGAGCGTCCTATTAGTCAGCAGACAACAGCTAGCAGAATTTTAATTGAGTGGAAGATATGGATTGAGTGAAGCTCAAAGGAGGAAAGGTTAGAGAGTGATAGTGGGAGAAGGAGAGCCAGGAAGTAGCAATGAGGAGCAAAGAATATTCCAATTTCCCAAGCTGGACCAGTGAGTTAGGGGAAAAGTTTAAGTACTGCCATTGCTAGAAAGGGTGGCCAAGGTAGGTTGTGTCCCAGGAGGGAGCCAAGTCTCATTGAGAGCCACTAGATGGAAGGAGTGGGAAAGGAAATGATTTAAGTTGAAAGCAAGTTTGTTGTCTATGAAACGGGGATTCTAGAGAGCATAGTCAAAGGGGTGGCTTTAGAGTTGGAAGAAATTTGAAAAGAATGAGAATTAGGGACTGATAGTATTTGAATGAAGAAGACCTTTGGAGATTCAGAATCACTGGGATGGGGAGGGTATAAACATGGGGGAGTTTACTGAGGAAAGTTTAAATAGATTTTCATTTTTGTCTATTAGGGTTTGGCATCAAGGTAGAGTTTTCTCAGGGCCTTACACAGTTCAGGCAAGGCATCCAGTACTTAGAGCCAAAGAACGGTGTTATTCCCCTTTTTCCAAGGCAGGAGACTAAGCTGGAGATTTGATGGGATGAATGGCCTTTCTTCTTTTCCTTGGAAAGGAGGAGTCTGGGACTAATGGAATGGCTTTTCCTCTTTAGGTAGAAGGCTCTGTGTGTGTAATGAAATATCATGAAGTCAGGAAATTTGCCAGGGCAACACAGCCAGTTCTGTGTCACAAGGAGGACTTGAACCCTGATTTTCCAGATTCCAGGGCCAGCTATGACACAATACTATACATAGTAAATGATAAATAAATTTTTGTTAATAAAATGAATTTAAAATGAAAGTTAAATCTCTAAGCCAGATCCAGGTTTGGACAAGACATCTGGCAATTCTGGCAAATGTCAGAGGGCCCTGCATAGTACAGTATCTCTACCCACTCCTATTTTGGGGGATGAGATATGACGGAGACTGTGCTGGTCAGCTGGTGGGCTTGTAATGCCAGAATTTATTTTTAGGCCTAGTTTGTTCTTGTTTAAGTCATAAAAGGAAAGGAAATTCCATTTATTTGAGGAAAATACCCAGAACCTCCAAATTTCTCAAAACAGAAACTTGAAACACAATAAACACATTATATTTCTTTTATAATATACCTGTACTCTTTATTAAGCCTCACCTGTCTATGCAGTAGACTTTTGTCTGTTCTCATGATCTTACCATACCTTTAACTTGGCCCTTTCCTAGCTACAAGGAGACTGAAACTTATCAAGGCCAAAGAGATCCAGAGACCCAGAATCTTGAGGGGTCATACATATTACTTCCAACACAAACTGAAAACTCCATAGTTGCAACTCCTTGCTATATGGCACTAGCTAGACTATTTGTCCCTAAACTGGGAATGCTGATGAACATACAGCCCCAATAATCTCTAACAAACACTAGAGGTTGATTTCAAGTACCCTTCTTGCTATTACTTGGGCTTCCAATTGGTTCACTATACTCCAAGTTGTCACATTTTCATCTCTATGCTGCTTTAAGTCCAAGAACAACAAAAGTTACAGAATACTCAGTGCCATCCTCAAACTTGGCAACATTCATCCCACCCTTGGTTTACTTCTGGCAATCAAATAATCAGGATCAGAGGATCAGACTTAGAGCTGGAAGGGACCTAAGAGATCATGTAGCTCAATACCCCCAGTCAACTGGTTGTGGGGGGTTTTTGTGTTGAAAATGAAGAAAAGAGCCTAGAGAAAGGAGTAGCTGCAGAGACTTTAAGAAACCTTCATCATCAAACTGAAACATTTCAATATAAAAAGCACAAAAATAAGGATTGTATATGAAACCACGATCTTGCTACCTACTCTGTTTTTTTTAATGTTGTTTAGCAAAGCAGTAACAAAGTTGCCCAGTTTATGGTTCTTTCTGAACTTTGTTTTCTTGTGTGTTTTTAATGTTTTATTGACTATTCTAATTCTCTCTCTCTCTCATTATTAACTACCCATCCCCAAAAGAAAATCTCTCCCCAGCAACAAATAAGAATACTCAAAGCAATGGGGCAGCTAGGTGGCAGTGGATAGAGCACTGACCCTGAAGTCAGGAGGACCTGAGTTCAAATCCACCCTCAGACCAAACACTTGACACGTACTAGCTGTGTGACCTTGGGCAAGTCCCTTAGCCCCGATTGCCTCACTGGAAAAAAACAAACAAACAAACAAACAAACAAAAAAGAATACTCAAAGCAAGACAAATCAGCCCACTGGTCAGTGGATGAACTTTTCACAAGCCTCGGGAGCACGGATGTCGTTTCCTCTGAAGGCTGCGTTGCTCCCAGTTATCCTTCTCTGCCACAGCTTAGAGCTCGAGTGACTCAACTTTCCCAACCTGCCTTCAGATGCTGGGCACAGAGGGAAGAGCCCAGGAAGCCTCAGCCTCCCTGGCTCCAGCTGGAAAAAAGAAACGGGGACCAGGGACGGGGCGGGGCGACGCCCCGCCCACTCCCCGCCCCCGCGCAGCTCCAGGTCACACCCCTCCCTCTGGCTGGGGAGCACGCCCAGAGCCCCAGGCTCGGCCCCGCCCACCCCCCGCCCCCGCAGGAAAGGGCGGGACCGCGTCCAGCCCCAGACAGTTGCTGTCACTCCTACTTCTACCCGACTCTCAGCTCCGGAAGGCTAGTGGGACGGAGCTGGCGGCGGGCGAGGGATGAACGCGTCCTGGGACCAGTGAGCGAGTGCGTCAACGATGGCCGAGGAAGCCGTCGCCGGCGTCGGCCCGAACGGGCGCCCGCAGGCCCGGCGGCGGCGGCGGCTGCTGCTGCGGCCCAGGAGGCGGTGGGGGACCTATGGCGGCGGCTGTTTCCGGAGCCTCTGCGGGTTGTCTGCCTCCCCGGCGGGTTTCCAAGGGCTGCCCCCTAGCTCGTCGGTAGGCCTCGGCGGCCTGTCGCGCGCCTCCCCGCTGCTGTTCCTCTTCCTCCTGCCCCGCCCTCGGCTCGCGGCGGCGACCCAGCGCCGTCACCTTGGAGACTGGGAGCGCTCGCGCCCGAGGCCTCGCGAGACAGCCGGGAGCCGGAGCCGGAGCCCGAGCCCGGCGGAGGAGCTCGGCGCGCGCGCGCCTCCTCGCCAGCAGCCGCCGGCCGCTGCCGCCGCCCTGGGGCCGCCCCCCTCGGGCATGGGGCTGGGCGGCCAGTGGCGGTGGTGCAAGGCGTGCCTCGCCACCAGCGTCGCCGGCCCTCTTCACCCGTGCAGCTTCCCGGTGTTGGCTCCTGCGAGGAGAGGTGAGGGGGAGGCAGGCAGGTGAGAGGGGGGGCGGCTGAGTGGGGAGGCCCGGAGCCTCGGCCCCTGGGAATCACGCGGATGCCACAGCCGCATTGCAAGCTTCGGGCGGAGGGGGGTGAGGAGGACGGGGTCAGCCGAGTGCATCGCTCTTCCCAGAGAGAAGGAGAGAGAGCAAAGGGCCCTGGCCTCGCCCCTGACTCCTCGAGGAAAAGTTGCCCTGAGCCAGGTAGTCAGCTGGCCCAGCCGAGAAGACCTTGTAGTAAGGCCGATGCCCGTGCCCCCGGGGGGGGTGGGCTTTCAGTCTTTAATGGGCGGGGCATGGGGAGGAGGCCCGCGTGTCGGCCGAACTGGATCCTGGACTTGGGTTGATTGTGGAAAGGCACCTTGCTCTGACATCTCTGGTTTTCTGACCTTTTATTTTTTCACTTACAAATGAAATGAGCTTTTTTTTTCTTTCTAAAGACAGGATTGGTGAGGGGGAGGTGGCGGCTTCCAGATTTCGAGGAGGAAAACGAAGAGAGTTTTTTTTTCCAGTTAATTTGAAATTTTAGACGTATTAAGATGCAGAAGTTTAAATAGCCCTCAATCCTACTAAATTGCTTCTAGTTACTGTTGGGGGTTAGAGTTGCCAAAGGTCAACTGTACTGCTGTCTTGAGGAGAGATGATGGGTGACATTAGTCCTGTTTGTACATGGTTCAGTAGTCACTGGTCCCAAGGTCACCTAGCAATTCTGAACCAGAAGTATTTGGTCTTAACTGTATTATACTTTGATTACATGGTCATGCTTGTTGGTGCCACGCTGAGACTCCCTGGGGAAAATCTGATTTGTGTAATATTCATAACCTATAGGATTGTGGACTGGGAGTGTGTTCCTTTCGCCCAATGATTTGCCAACTTTCTTGATGTTATTAACAATGTAGTACCACTAGCAAGGCCATTAATCACATAACTTTTTTTTTTTGCCTTCAGGCATCTCCACCCCTTGTACTGATATTATTTTTTCTTAATAACCAATAAATAAATTCAAAGGTAAATGGAGGAAGACAAAAGCAAAAAGGATCCCAGCAAGGAAGTAGTCAAAATTGGTGCCCAGTAATAGATGAGTGGATTAAAGTCTCTGTTCTCTGCTCACTGGTTTATTATTTGCTGTTTTTTATTAATGGCCTTTTTTTTTTCCAAGAAGATATGTTTTGAAAATGAAAAGTTAAATTGATCATAGATCTAGAGCTGAAAGGAGACTTGAGAGGCTATGTAATTCAACTCCCTTGTTTTGCAGATGTGGAAACCCAGGGAAGTTAATTGACTGTCCAAGATCACATAGGCAGTGTTTGGTAGAATTTGAAGCCAGTTCCTCTACCTCTAGAGCCAGTGCTCTTTCTGTTGCTCACTTTTTTTGTTTTGAAAATGTATTCAGAATATTCCTTTTAATATACTAAGAGCTGCTTGAGAAGAACTGAATAGACTGAGCCTTGTTGAAACTTTAATTCAGTGAAATCTATTCATTTATAGTTGATTGACAGAATCTTCCATTTCCATCGTTATTAGAGAAAAATTGTTATCCCAAATACTAAATGTGTTACCATTAGAAATATAGTTGACTAAAGTGAGGTTATACCTCTAAGCTATGGTGGTAGGAGTGGCAAATGGAACAAATATTTAACATTTCATAAAGTGACATTCATTTTAACATTGTTGGACCAAGTACCCTTTATTATAATCTCAGTCCAAAATCTATAAGCACTGTTCAGAGCAGGATTATTTTTTGCCTAGAATGCATTTGCAGTTCTTTCCTGACTTCTCTAGGTTGTTTTTTTTTTGTCCTCATAGATGATTATCATATTAGAAATTGAAACTGGAATAATCTAATGCCAGAGATCTGTTGATATTTGCAAGTTCCTTGACTCCATGGGGGGGGGGGGATTATCAGTTTTAATAAATGGAAGGTGAGAGAGACAGAAAACCTCCATTGGAGGCTAGACCCAAGTCTAGGCTTGGTGAAATGATGAAGTACCAACTTAGTGTTACATAGGGAGAGTATCATTGTTTCTTTCATATTATTTCCATTTTCATAGAATCATAAAATCTTGTAATTTGAAAGGAACATTAGAGATTATCTGTTCCAACTTCCCATTTGCACAGGAATTCCGAGAGATAACACCTCTGATAGATTCTGAGTTTTCTTTTGCAGTATTTAAGGAATAAAGACAGTTTCTGAGGTATCTTTTCCAGCTGCTTGGGTGATTTCTGTGACTGAAGGTTCTAGGACTTAAACTTAAGAGTTGAGATTAATTTAATGAATGGCTCATCTGTGTGTTAAAAGTATTTTTTAAAAGCATATAAGCTATTTGATAGTATCTTTCTAAGGTAATGCAATTTTTTGAATGCTTCATTTCACATTATTATATTGCCTCTGCTTAATATTAAATGTGTTCTATTTTTTGGCCTTGTGTTTTCCTTTCCTTCCTAGATCTGAGCATTTCTGCTAGGTCACAACAAGCAACACAAAAGTTACCTCTTTTCGCCTCTTCAGGGAGTAAGAAGCTGTACTTCGACACCCATGCTGTGGTGCTTCTTCTGGAGGAAAAGGGTAATTCTCTTAGATATTGATTGCTCAGAAATAAAGCATTATAACACAATTTCATTTACTTTCTCACCTAACCTATTAAATTGGTTCTGTTATTACTCTGTAATTCTTAAATCTGAATTCTAAAAATATTATTTTGTGACAAAGGAACATACAGAAAAAATGCCACTAGCTTAAAAATATAAACTGCAACAGGGGATTAGGGAGAAACATCAATAATCAATTGAAGAAAGTTTTTCCTTAAGTCCTTTCAGCACATCAGCTTAGAAAAGTTCTCACTACATCTTACTGAACAAATAGTCATTCAACTTTTCCTAGGGACTCCCAGTGAGGGAAAAATCACTGCATTCTGAGGGAGGTCATACTACTTTTGAATACTTCTAATTATTGAAAGGCCTCTTTGAAACTTTCCATCTGTTACTCCTTTGTCAGAATAAACTATATCCAATCAACTGCTAGAATCCAAATCTCAGTTAGAATTTGAATTATTATCTGGAGCAAATTATTATATTATCTACCTCATCCTTCTTCTCACAGGAGTTGTTCCTATAGTGCTGTGTTCAAAATTAGATGTTAAATAAATAGATTTGGTCAGTTTTAAAAAAAAAAAGTTCTCTGTAACCCCTACCTGTGTAGGAACCTGGCAACGAAGAAAAAAGGAACCTTACAAATTTCAAATGCTTCCTAACTGATATAATTGATAGTTACATCAATTAGTTGATATACTAATAGGAGGAAAGTGACCAATCTCACCACCTTGACAGTTTCAACAAGATTTGATATCTAGATTTTTTTTTTACCCTGTGTGTGTGTATATGTATAAACTTTTTAATAGAGCAGTCTATAAATCTCTTACTCTGAAAGAAGTTGTAATTGTTGATGCAAATGTAGACACAAGTCAGCAAAATTCAAGGTTCCCATAACTGCCCTTAGGACAGTTTAGGCAGTGGTTTTAATATAGCCTATATTTGCTTTTAAAAGTTTGCATTTAGGAAAAAAAAAAGTTTGCATTTAAAATATTGTTGGGCTGCAAAAGAATTGCCTGTAGTGGGAATCATACAAAATAACACTATATATATGTTTGTATGTGGGTGTGGGGGTGTGTGTGTATAAAATGTAGTTGCTTATATAACAGTGCTTTTTTTTTTGAATAAAAGGAAATAGGCATAATTTGCTAGAAAAGAAATGAACAAGTTTAAAATGGACACATCTTTATCAATATAAATGCAGCTTTGATTTTATTTCATTGTGTAGTTATTTAACCAGTTGTGTATATATGTAGAAAACTGCGTTTCAAGTATGCCTAAAAAAAAGAGATGAAAAAATGAAAGAAGCACCTTATAAGTCAAATATAAGTTTGACTGGTTAAACGACTCCCATACCTCGTATTTTTCAGAGAGGTGGCCAAAGTCACAGAATTAAGGACAGAACAAAACAAAAAACCCTTTTCTGCTCCCATCCATCCCTTCTTCTCCACCCATATAGCTCCCACCTTAGTTCAGACCTACCTTGCCTCATCCTTGAATTATTGCAGTAATTTGCATCTCGCCTTTACTCATAAGTGTTCAACTTAATCAAAAATTGATGTTCCTGTGTTTGACCATAACTTCCTATCATTTCATGTCTCCTGTACTCTCAATCACTACCCCATTAACGCTATAATCAATCAACAGGTGTTTACTAAGTGCTTACTATGTGTCAGGTACTATACTAGGTGCTGAAAATAGATATATAGTGAATAACACAGTCCTATTATCAAGGCATTTATCGTCTGTTCAAAAGTGGAGGAAAATGTAGAGTTGAAATGACTGACTATACAATCATAATTGGAGAGGGATGGAAGTCAAGTCAGAGCAGGAGTAATGACCTGATAAAGGAATGAGGAATGAAAAGATTGGAGATGTTGAGGAGGGCAAAGGAGAGGTGTGAGGCAAAGGAGATTAATGAAGTGATAGGATAGATTTCCCCAGTCTCTGTCTCAACCTCAGCTTCAGCTCTGCATCGCCATTTGCTTAATGGACATTTCAAACTGGATTTGAAGACATCTCAAACTTGGCATGTCCAAAACAGAATTCATTCTCTTTCCCCCAAAACCTAGTTCTCTTCCAGACTTTCCTGTTTCTGTTGAAGGCACCACCACTCTTCCAGGTTGATAATCTCTCACGTCTGCCCCCTTTGCTGTTCATACCACCACCCCCTTAGATCAGGTCTTTATCACCCCTTGCCCAAATTATTTTGATAGCTTCCTGATTGGTCTTTTTGCCTCAGATCTCTCCCCACTTCTATCCATCTCTCATTCTGCTGAAGTACTTGTCTGATTAATTCTCTCCTCTCCTCAGTAAACTCAGCTTCTCTATTTAGCTTTTAAAGCCCTTCAGAACCTGACCCCAGCATACCTTTTCAGACTCGTTGTACATCCTGTATTCTGTGATCCAGCACTCCATTTCTTATCTCCTTGCCTTTGCATTGGCCGCCCCCCATTCCAAGAATGCACTTGCTCCTCATCTCTGCTTCATAGAACCCTCTCTTCCTTTTGGACGCAGTTCAGGCACCATCTTCCTCATGAAATTTTTCATGATCTCCCCAACTGCTGGTACCCTCCCTCCTACCTTGTAATTAACTACTTTGTGTTTATTTGTATTGGCTTTATATTTATTCTATATCTGTTTACACATATATTTATTATTTCCCCATTGGAATGTAAACATCTTTTGAATAGCTTATCTACAGCACATAGCACAATGCCTGGCACATAATAGGCACTTAATTGTTGATTTATTGAATAACTTACCGATTGGGCACCCTTCCTCAAGTCTCCCTCTCCAATCCATTCTCCACACAGCTAGCAACTTGATATTCTTAAACTACAGCTCTGACCATGTCACTGTCTTGCTCAAAAAGCTCCAGTGGCTCCCTGTTTATTACTTCTGGGATAAAATACAAATTCCTGGCATTTAAAACCAATCACAACCTGCCTCTTGCCCACCTTTATCTTCTATTTACTTTAATGGATACATACTATTTCCCCAGATAGAATATAAGCTCTTCATAATACAGTAAAAAACATGGGTGCCAGGATTCAAATTCCACTTTTTATGCTTACTACTTATGTGCCCTGGGGCAAGTCCCTTAACTTTCCTAGTCCTTAGTTCCTTATCTTTAAAATGAGATGTTTAGACTGTGTCTTTTCAGATTCCGTTTTCCACTCTTGATTTGTCATCTTTGAGGACAGAGAATCTTTTGATTTTGTTTATTTGTTTATTTGATCTTTGTATCCCTCAGTGCCTGGCACATAAGTGTTTCATAAAAGCCTGTTCATTCTTCCCATTATGCTACATTGCGTATATATTTCTTATACCCACAGAAATGTTTTCTTGTGACTATTGGCACAGCCGCATATTGGTTAAGCTAATTAAAAAATTAAAGCCTTTGCTGTAAGATATAAATTTCTTTGAAGGTTTTATCCAAGGCATAGAATTTTCCTGAATGTAGTTGTTTTATTTATTCAGGGTTTACCACTCAACAAGCAGAAATCATTGTCTCTTCATTAGTGAAGATCATGAACAGCAACATGGAGGTTGTCAGCCAGAATATGGTCACCAAGGTGCATCAGGTTAGATGAGAGGAAAATCTTCTAGGTTTGTGGGTGTTTTATGCATTTTAAAATAAGCAAATTAGTATATGCATATGTGTATTGGTATCCTACATTGTGTTTTGAAACTAACATTCATTGGGTACCTGTGTTCAAAGGAAAAGTGCCTAGCAGTCATCTCCAAAGTCCTCAGAGATGAAGAGGTTCAATGCTATGAAAATTCAGCTGTTGAAAACAAAAACATAACTGCTTTTCCCATAGTCGCTGTGGTATGATGTGGTTGGGAAGCAAGGAGGGAAAATAGGAGATAAATTTCCTCTAAAGCTTTCATACCAATACTTATTAGATAAGCATGTGTGTAGCACTTTAAGATTTGAAAAGCATTTTACATATGTTTGATAATGTTTCTTAATCTAGACATACAGTCTTTAAGTGTCAAAAAGATTATTGTTCTTGTTTTAGTAAATTTAGAAGTGCCCAAAAATCAAGTATTCTTAAAAGTATAACTAGACATACTTTTCTGTTTCACGATTTTAATTATCCCCTTGGTGATGGTTAACAGCTGACATGTTACGTGCAGGCCTTCTAGAGATGGGTAAAAAGTGTCTACTTTACATTTGACAGAAACTCCAAAGAGGATAAGTTGAACATTCTAGGTAATATATGTCAATTGTGTATGTGCTTTTCTTTTCCTAGGAGATCACTGTACAGCAGATAATGTCTCAGATTGCTGGTGTCAAAAAGGATATGATCATTTTAGAAAAGAGTGAATTTTCAACTCTCAGAGCAGAAAATCAGGTAAACTGATAGAACTCCTCCTACCTTTATAAAACCTTTTACAGCAAGGCACTGCTGTCAAATTGAATTGTTAATGTAAGTTTTAAAATTCCTTATGCAGTGAAAAAATAAATCTTATAATACTCTAAAGCAGAGGTTCTTAACCTTTTTTATGCACTGGATCCCTTAAGCAGTCTGGTGGAGCCTGTGGACACTTCAGAACAATGTTTGGCAGTGCATAAAATATATAAGATAACAAACAAAACCAATGCTATTGAAATAGTTATCAATTTTTTTTTTTAAGTTCACAGGGTTCACTCCCACTCTAGAGGGTTTGAAATCCAAGTTCTGTGATAGTTGTTTGTCATTCAGTCGTATCCAACTCTTTGTGACCCCATTTGGGGTTTTCTTGGCAAAGATGCTGAAGTGGTTTGCCATTTCCTTCTCCAGCTCATTTTATAGCTAAGGAAACTGAGACAAACAGTTAAGTGACTTACCCAGGGTCACACACCTCACACAGCTCGTAGGTATCCGAGGCTGGATTTGAACTCACAAAAATGAGTCTTCCTGATTCCAGGCCCAGTGCTTTATCCGGTTCACCACCTAGCTGCCCTGTATGATAATTACTAGTTCATAATTTACCATTTAGCTGAAAATGTTACATTTATTGTAGCTTATAACTCATGGGCTTTACCAACTGTGTATACTCTTACTCCTCTTAAAAAAAAATCTTAAAAGGCTATTTCTTTTTGTCAGCCTCAAAGACAATCCTCTCCTTTTGACCAAATGATTGGACTTAAAGCTATTGAAAAAGCATCTTTGAAAGCTATAATTTGAGATTACATCTAGGGCTAGAGTAGCTGAAAAAAATTTGAATAAGATACTGAAAAGATGAAGGCTCAGCCTTAGAGGCAAATTCTCACAAAAAGACTGCTAAACATTTTTTATTTAATATTTATTAGTACACATCCCCTTTAAGAAACATTGTGTAATTAATGTAGTAGTATGATTGTTAATACATTAGATTGAGGGGAATCTTGACATAAGTGAGTTGTCTTAAACCTGATATTCATAAAATTGGAGGAGAAAGAAAGGACGGATCCTGGTTCAGGAGAAAGAAATGGAATTTTAGCTTTTTTTTCTTTTTTTCCTAAACCTTTAATTTATTACTATATTTAACTTGTTTCTTTTTTGATGTTTTTAGAAATTAACACTTGAACTCCACCAGTTAAAACAGCGAATGCTGGTAAGATATTCTTTATGAGTAATAATAAAGAGTCATTAATGAATATAGTTTTAAAAGTACTTGTTATTACACTAGAAGGACTAGAATTTAAGAATATCTCAAAAGACCAAGCTGCATCAATTGATACAGTGCATTTTTTTTACCCATGAGGCAAAGAAAATTAAGGTAGTAGTATGAATGTTTTTTATTTCAAAAAGTTTAAGTCATAATATTTTTGCAACAGTTGACTTGCCTGGTCCTTCTGGTGTTTAGTTTGTTTAAAACTAACTGACCTCAGCAGTAGGAATTGGGAACTTGTGCTAGAAAGACAACCAGTGGCTAGTCTCAGCTTTTTCTTTATCAAGATTTTGTATTTTTACTAATATTTGAAAATTTCTTGTAAAGCTTGATGACCTTCAAAGAGATGACCTTTTATGTTAGAGAAGCACTGTAGCTCAATACAGCTAAACCAGTTTGTTTACTGGGTGTTACCCAACCTCTGTCCTCTTTTTTTCTTCCTCAATACAGGTTTGGTTGTTGATCTCATCTGCTCCCCTAGATCACTGTCTTCTATACACAAATAATTCCTGGATCTCTGTATCCAATCCTAACCTCTCTCCTGAGCAGCAGTCTTACATCACCAACTGCCTTTTAGACATCTTGAACTGGATGTCCAATAGACATCTCAAATTCAACATGTCCTTCCCTCAGTCACTCCTCTTTTCCGAATTTTCCTGTTACTGTTAAAGGCACCACCATTCTCTCAGTAAACAGACCTGCAACTTCTTGATTCCCCCCACCCCCATATTTAATCTGTTGTCAAGCCTTGACATTTTTACCTTCAGAACATTTCCCGTGTAAGTTCCCTTATTTCCACTCATACTGATGCAACCATAATGCAGGCCCCTTGTCACTTTACACTTGGACTATCGCAATAACCTTCTGCTTGGTCTCTCTACTTCTGGTCTTCTCACTCCAGTCCACCCTTGACTCAGCTGCCAGTGATTTTTCCTAAAATATAGGTCTGACCTCGTTACCTTGCCTGCTCAATAATTCAGTGGCTCCTTATTTCCTCCAGAATCAAATATATTTAGTATCTAAAGCTCTTTACAACCTGGCTTCTTCCTACCTTTCCAGTCATCTTACACTTTGCTCTGTGCATTCTATGGTCCAGCCAAACCAGCTTACTTGCTTTTCCCTATATTTATTACTCTGTATCCTACCATTACAACTGGTTGTGTCCCATACCTGGCATGCTCCCCCCTCACTTCTGCCTCCTAGCTTCCTTGGCTTCCTTCAAGACTCAGCTGAAACCCCACATTCTGCAGGAAGCTCCTCTAGCACCCCCAAATTTCCCCTGCTCCCCTCCATGGCTAATGCCTTCCCTCTGAGATAGATACATTGAGCTTCAATTAAAAGCTTGCCATATGTCAGGCATTGTGCTAATAAGTGCTGAAAATACGAATACAAGTAAGGAAGAACGATAGACCCTGCCCTAAAGAAACTAACATTCTAATGGGAGAAGATATTACATAAATGGGAGTGGGGGGAGGGGATTTTTATGAAATGGTGTGGTATCCACATGGGAGCCAAGAAGAATGGAGTCATGGGGTCCAGAGAAGAATGGAGCCAGGAGAGGAGTAAACATGGCTGAATTGGGTATTTCACCGAAGGGAGGTGAGGTATTCACCAACTAAAGGAGAGGGGTGAAGGGGCAGAGTCATTTTCCAAAGTGAGAAGGCTGCTAGTGTGGAGCTGGAGAAGTCTGAAGAGAGGAGCAGAACTGGGAGAAGAATGACAGAGGCTGATTGGATAACTTCCCCCAATGGAGGTTCCAGGGAGGAACTCGTCAGTTGGTAGAGTGGGCTGCAGGGTTGGAGGCAGTTTTCCAGGGTAGGAAAGCAGCTAGATGGATGTGATTCATATTATTGCAACTGTGCTACAGATATTTTCCATAGTCCCCCTGAATGAAGGTGCTAGATAAATATGCCAAAGGTACCAGCGTGACCGACATGTTGCCTGCTCGAGTGGAACATCCATCTGCTTTTTGATTGAACTCCACCCCTCCTCCCTTCTTTATTCTCCCAAAGAATCTTCTTTGCTTGGAACTTATTTAAGCCTAGACCCTCTTCTTCATGATGCCCATAGACCCAAAGACTCTACTTAATATCTCCCTTCTCTGTAAATGAATTATCTTTCATTTACATTGCATACATCTTGTATGTAGATAGTTATTTCATGTTGTCTCCCCTCTTACAGTGTTAGTTTCTTGAGGCCAAGGACTGTGTTTTGGCCTCTCCTTTGCGCTTAGCACTTAACACAGTGTCTGGCACAGAGCAGGCACATAATGTTTGTTGACTGTTCAAAAAAGAGGGGAAAATATCTTCACTCAACCTAGACAAGGGATTCTTAACCTTTTTTTTGTTTCTTGGGCCCATTTGGCAGTCTCATGAAGCCTATAGACCCTTTTTCAGATGGATGTATTTAAATGTGTGAGATGAAATACATAGAATTACAAGGGAAATTGGTTATGTTGAAATACAATTAAGTTGGCATACCCCAGGCTAAGAGCTCCTGACTTAAACTATTCCTCCTTATCTCTGAAAGGGCACACTGGTATAAAATAAATGAAGCTACATTCTTTAGTGCTTTTTTTTTTTTTTTTTAACCAATGTGCAGGTCCATAGCGACCACAAAAACTAGATGCTAATTATTAAATTGTGTGATTCTTCAGGGGAGACAATAATTTAAACTAGTCAGTTTGTGTGTGTGTGTGTGTGTGTGTGTACACACATGCACATGCCAGTGTATGTCAAAGGTTACACTTGAACCCACATTTTCCTAAATATAGGGCCAGCTCTCAATCCACTAAAGTTCATCTTTATGACTTGAGACTGTCAGATCCACAGTGTCACATGAAAAATAAGTTCTTAGAATATTAAATGGTTTGAGTGGATTACATGTTACCTGCCTTTCAGTAGAACTATTACAGAATGTTACTTTTGTCTATTTGATAGTAGGTATGATTTTACTTTTTCTTTACTTTTACAAAAGAAATTAAAAGGTTATTTTTCATAATACTACTTTGATCTCTCTCCAGCAGTAATTCAAATTGTCATAGAGGGAACATTCCTTAGAGAGAAAATATATGCTCTTGAGCAATATATTCTTTTGTATTTTGAAAGAATACTTACTATTCTTCCTATTTGGCTTCTAAATAGTGAATATTTCTGTGTAAAAGAACAGAGGACTTTGTCTTAATAGAAGAATTAAGTAATAACCTAGTTAAGTAGAATGGAGTAACATCCATCTTTTGATTCCATCCCTTCTCTGATTTTTTGTTTGTTTGTTTTTTCTCCACCTCTCTTTTCTCTCTCTTGCCTTCCAGGATGAAATACTCAAAGTTCGGGCAGATAATAAATTGGATTTCAATCTAGAAAAGAGCAGAGTAAAAGAATTGGTATGTTCTTTGAAATTTAGTTTCATTTTAAGGTAAAATTCTAGATGAAACCTGAATTTGCATGAAGTTTGAATATTTAAGACCATCCTGTACATAACTCTCTGACAGAGTTGAACACAGGCAAAGCCTTTTATTTGATTTTTGAATTTTTAAACTTTCCTCAACTCCCCTTGTACCCTAAATTTCAAAATATCTCTCAGATTGATTCTTATTCTACCTTCAGGAACTTTTCTTTCACTAAATTTGGCATATTTTAACAGAATGAAAATTTAAAGCTTAGTCAAACTGAGCTTGGATGCTTTGATAAAATTCTTGAATTGAGAGCATACTTCTAAACTGTTAGTGTATCACCTAGACTTTCATATGAGGATTACACTTAATTCTAGTATTATATTGAATAAGATTAAGTATCTTCAGAATCTGTTTCAGAAAAAAATTAAGTAATACTGATAACTAGACTGGAGAAATAAAGATTTAAGTTGTAAACTAGCACTGTTGTTTTTTGTGTTTACTTTCAAAGTCATATTCTTTGGCCTCAGACTTATTAAACTTAGTAAGAGCTAAATATTTTAATAGTAAAATAGTTTAGTGATCTGAGTAGAAGTCTAAGGAATTCTACATAGCTCACTTCTCATTGTCTTTCTTGCTAAAGAATGTATGCTTCTAAATTGTCTTTTATTAGCATAGGACTTGGTACACACAAAATTGAAGAGTAATTACTAGCTCTTGTTTTTTCCTCTTCACAATTTTCTCATAATACTGAGGCTGTGCATCTTTGAGACCAAAGGACAGTCACTTTTTAATCTAGTGCCATAACTGGGAGTCTAAGTGCCCACAATACTTCAAATACCTACTATGTGCAAAGTGGCCATTAGCATAGGACCAGTCTCTAAAGGAAAACATACTTCTTTCTTGTACCTTTTGGTTTTTATGATTTTGCAAGTAAGAAGCTACATTTACCACAGGCAGCCTGTTCTTTGATCCAGCCTGATCTGCAGAGTGCTTGCAGTACTGAAAACATGGACAAAACTAATGAAATGTAGAGAACTATTTTTGCCCTACTTGAAGGTCTGCCTTTGTTATTTTTCAGCTGACACCATCAGTGTAGTTCTATGTTTCCGTGGAGCTATTGGTTAGCTTATCGAGTTAGCCTGCGACGAACAGATTAGATTACTTTTATTATTTAATCTTCAGCTGATTATCCCCTTCCTTTTGGATAAGTGAAGCAATGTGGTGTATTCTTATGAAAAGGAGACTTGTTAATATTTAATTGATTAAAGCTAGAGCAGTACACAAATGCTAGAAAATAGTACCAGTACCACATTGCCCTTTGGTAGTGAGCTTCCTTGCACTGAACCTGTAGTTTAAAAGATGAGAGTGACCATTATCTATTCATCATACTTGACTGCTAAGTGCTTCTAAGATTCCTTTTAGTTTAGAGTTCCCTCCTCATCACTAACCTGATTCTTGTTTTTTTAATTCTTTACAGATAGAATATATAGTGAATTTTTTTTTAAATGTTAGGCATTTCATATGATGTTTGGAAAAAAAACAGTTAACTAAATTTTTTCCACTTACCACCAAAACTACGAATTGTCTCTTCTGTATCCTCATTTCAAGAATTCTAGTCACTTGAGTGATATGATAAATATAATCTGCATGCCAAAAAACTGTACTTAACTATGGCCAAAGGGAAAATACAAGCCTCATTCCAAGTATTGTCACTCAATACAAAGTAGCATCAACTATAATTGTAGTGTGGCTCTTTTTACAAAAAATTGACACCTGACAAGTGAAGAAAGTCTTGTTGTTTTGCTTTCACTGTTATACGAGTTAAGTATATTTAATAAGCCATGAAATTTGTGTGATTTGGCATATAAATCAACATGTACTTTTTTTTTTTACCAACAAACATTTTTTTTTTTTAAAAGAGAGAAAAGATCCCTATGCCCATGGATTTGCACTTAGAAGACTGGGTTAAATTCCTGGCTCTGCTCATATTGCTAATAAGTGGCAAAGCAATTATTTGAACTGACTCCAAATCCAGGACTTTTTCTGTTGCAATCCACTGCCTTCACATTGGTTAGTAGTGAACTTATTCATCTAAGATTCCAAAGACAACACGTATACTATTTTTTTAAGACCTATTTCCCTCCCATTCTTTCTGTTCAGGCCTCAGTCACCTGATTTCCCAACATCCAATGTGTCTTGGATTGTTCTTCCCCACCTTTTTCATTCTCCCAAAAATTAAATCCTTAAAGGAGAAATGAAAGTAGATATAGCCATAAGAGTCGGAGAAAAAGATTCCAAAGTATTGGGTTGCTGAATCTAGAAGATTATGCCTCTTATTTACAGTTAAAGTGCATCCCTAGACAAAAGTAATATGATTGTTCCTACACCGTCAGGTGATTCTAAAATGCTTTGTTGTTGTTTTAAGTTGTGTCTGATTCTCTGTGACCCAACTTAGGATTTTCTTGGCAAAGATACTGGAGTGGTTTGCCATTTTCTTCTCCAACTCATTTTGCATATGAGAAACTGAGGCAAACAGGGTTAAGTGACTTGTCCAGGGTCACACAGCTAGTAAGTGTCTGAGGCCATATTTGAACTCAGGAAGATAAATCTTCCTGACTCCAAGCCTGGCACTCTATCACAATATTAATTATAATAGTAGAGCAAGAGATAAACAGGAATGAAGTTGTAGTCTAACACAAGTTAAATTTTATCTTTTCAGTATGCATTGAATGAAAGGAAGCTACTTGAAATGAGATCAGAAGTATTAACATTGGTAAGAAGTGAAACTGAGCATTGCTGTGTTATATCTTAAATTCACCTTTGCCTCCTGTTCTGACTAATATGTTAATGGATAATGACCAGTGTGTCTGTGGTAAAATTATGAACTGTTAGGTTCATGATGGTGGAATCAGATCCTAAAGATGCAAAATACCTTCTTAACTAGTAACAAACATTATGGAGCTTTTGTACTGGTTTACAAAAGGGATTATCAAGAGATTCTCCCTGCTTTTCTTCCTTTCCATGATGTCTCTTAGTGCGTCTTGTGGAATTGAATTCCAAAGTGAAGTTCATGAGAATTGTAGAGCCTCAGAATTTGAAAATGACTTTAGTGGCTGAAATAACTCAAAAGCAAAGATATATGAATCCTGTTGGGCATACAATCCATGTCTCCTTAGAAATGAAGAATGAGGGTCAACTAGGTGGCGCAGTGGATAAGAGCACCAGCCCTGAATTCAGGAGGACCCGAGTTCAAATCCTGCCTCAGACCAAACACTTGACACTTACTAGCTGTGTGACCCTGGGCAAATCAATTAACCCCAATTTTCTAAAAACAAAACAAAAAAAAAAAAGAAATGAAGAATAAAATAAAAGGACGTGATTAATGTTGATGTTTTTGCTTAGTCGTAAGTTTATCAGAGAGGATTCTCCACTTCCAAAATAACTGATGAATCAATGAGTTGATTCAAAATGAACCAATAAAACAACTTTTTTTTTTTTTTTAAGAAAAGGAACTGAATAGTTAAATAGAATCTGTTTTCTGTGGGTTATTTTTAAGCTGACATTTACTAATCCTACATGAAGATAGGTGGGGAAAATGGCTGGCTGAAATTGCTTTTATGTTATAGAAAACTAGATAGGCCCAGGGTCACCCAGCTAGTGGGTGTCTGAGGCCAGATTTGAACTCAGTAGGATGAATCTTCCTGACTTCAAGCCCAGTGCTCTAAATACCACCTAGCTGCCTCATACATATTGTTTCCCGTACTCCTTATCTATTGCCTTCTAATGGCCAGCTGTTCTGTAGTATACTCTTAGGACAATACTTACTTGAGTATGGAAACATAAATATGATATAATATATATGAAAAAGAAAATTTTAAAGCACTACATAAATGTCATCTGTTATTATTGTATACACAAATGTATTTGCCTCATGAGTCATTCTGAGTAATACATCTGATGATAACACTATTACATAATAATACAGAACCATTCTGATATTAACAGTACTTGAACAGGACTTCGCTCTAGTCTGCTTGAGGGCCCAGTGAATCCCCATAGTCAATTTCTGTTAGTAGTTGAATTCCAGCATATTTCATTGCATTATTCTATTAGGACAGCTTAATGACTGAATCATTAAGAGAGGCAGTATGGGGTATTGGATGGAATGCTGATATTACAGTAAGGAAGACTTGGATTTGAATTTTGCCTCAGATACTTACTAGACTTCCATGTAGAAGTCACTGAATTTCACTGAACCTAGTTTCCTCATGTGTAAAATGGGAATCATAACAGCATCTGTTACAGAATTGTTATGAATTCAAGTAAGGTAATATAGGTTTTAAAAAAAACCTTTATAAACCTCCAGACTTTTATAAATGTCAGCTACTTTTTTCAAGCAAATGATTAGGTTTGTTACCTGAATTCTGTTACCAATTGAACCAGTGACTCAGGATTGAGGAATTCCAGAATAGAGTTGAAAAACTTTAGTAAGAACAATTTGTATTTTTAAAGATCATCTATTCTGCTGTCTCCATAGTGAGATCCACTTGAAATAAAAAATAAAAAAAAGAAAACTGGATAGGTGCTAGACTTATAATTTTATTGGAAATCCAGACACTAGTTATTACCTGTTTGAAGTACCCAGGGAAGACTTCCCCATTGGGGTTTTGAGGATAGTTGTTGGGGGTTGGTGATACAAAGAATCTTGTTTGTTGTTTGTTTCGCTTTTTAATCCTATTAATTGTTTTCTTATGCCTTTTTATTTTCATATTTAGCTGGTCCTTGGTGAGACCTCTCTCTAAAGTCTAAGTTTGTCATAAAATTCAAATGATAAATGAATAATCCCTATCTCCACCTGAACCATTTAGACACGAATATTCAACAATAATTGGTGCTAAGCATCAGGGAGAACCTTCCTTTTCTAAAAGATGAGTATTCTGTTTCCAAAAGGCAGCTTCCCTCTCCCTCTGCTTCTATATCCTAATTTTTTTGACCAAATTAAAAATCTGACCATGAAAGAAAAGGTTATGATTGTAAACTTATTAATTCAAGTGGAGTTGACTCTGACCTCCTCAACCCTCTACTAGAGCACAATCAAATTTATTTGTGTGTTGACTGCTAGATTGAGTAATGGATAAAGCGCTGGACTTGGTGTCAGGAAGACCTGAATTCAAACCCTGCCTCACACACTAGCTCTGTGACCCTAGGCAGGTCACTTAACCTCTTTCAGAGCCAGTTTCCTTAGCTGTAGGTTCTGTGATAACGCTTACCTTCAAGGGTTGTTGTTAGATCAAATGAAATAGGATTTGAAGTGCTTTTACAAATCTTAAAGTGCATTAGAAATGATAGATATTATTTTAGTTTCAAAGCTGAATGCCCCCTTTGGAACAAAAGGGTTTTTTTTAGTCCATATGAAGGAATTGTGGTACATTGATGCCTAATAGAAAACTGTGCTTATCCAGATTTTCATTATTTTGTATAGAAGGGTAGCAGTATAAAACTGCCCATCACCCATCAGCATTTTTAAAAATTCAATTTCATTATGAATAAGTAAATTAAGTAGGAATATAGTATTTTCATGACTAACCTTTATGGGTTATTTTGTAATCAGGCTTAACTTTCAGTATATCTCTGTGTATCTAAACCACATAATGAGCAGCCATATAGATTATGCTGTTTTTATATAAGTTTATATATAAGTAGTGTTAGAAAATTAAGACAAAATAGCAGGATAGCACTCTTATTTTCAGATTAACTTCAAATAAGTATTTTGAGTTGTCTCTTCTGTGGCCATTACTGTAGGGACTGTTTGTTTTTTTAAAGGAAAGAAATGGTCCTTGCCCTTATTAAACTCATAATCTAATTAAGGAATCAGGGTTCATAGACCAATTAGAGTATAGTATATTCAAAAATGTGGTAGAGACTAGACATGTATGCTAGGGGGGATTCTCAAAAGTTTTTGAAAGAACTATTTCTGTATTCTCACATTTGTACCCTATAATATCCCTGGAGATAATCTCTCTAAGCGGAGAAAATGAGGCTCAGAGTTTTTGTAACAGTGTTAGAGACAAGATTAGAATGCAGGTCATCCTCACTTCCAAGCCCAACACTGTATCCATTATGACATACTGCCTCCTACAGTGTTGTCGAGTTAGATCAAGCTTCTTAAATTAGATGTATGAGTTCAACGGGACCTGATAACCTGTAGTTATATAATGTCCTGTACCTCTTTGTTTTAAAGCAGGCACAACAACTCCGGGCTCTTACTCAGACAGACAGAAAGATAGACACTGAAGTTGCTGGCCTGAAAACCATGCTTGAATCACACAAGCTTGATAATATTAAATATTTAGCAGGTAAGATGTTGTGCATTTAGCTATTAGAAATAAATTGAAGATAAGCCCCAAAAACAAAATGACAAAGAAAAAATTGCACTGATTTAGGATTTTTATCTCTTAAAATCCGTAATTATCTTAAAGTTTAACCACTAAGAAATAAATTTTTGCTCTCTCTACTGCAGGCCTGCTATAAATTATGCTATACTAATTTTTACACACTGGATTTGGTGTCTCAAGGGTTTTTTCTATTAAAAAAAAAAAACAACATTCCTTTATACTTTGGAGGTTACAAGTAGTGTTGTATTTGAGCAGCTGTAGTTTTTATGAGCAAATATTTCATGGAATATAGCAGATCAGATCTTTGAACTGCTAGTTTCTGTGGGGAGAGGAAAAGGTTATGTATGTGTATTTAAGCATTCCTTAAAGCAGCTGTTAAAAGAACTAATAGTCTTTCCCTGTTTTGTTTTTTTTAAACAGGTTCTATATTTACATGTCTAACGGTAGCTCTGGGATTTTATCGTCTATGGATTTAAGTGTCTCCTTAAAAGGACCTATATTTGCCTTAAAAATATGAGGTTATTACTTTTTTCCTCATTTCAAATTTTAACCCTGATTTGATTTTATTTATGTTATTTTTTATGCACATTATGATGTATAACCATCTTTAAAGTGTCAGAAAATCCATTTTGTAGCTCTTTATCTTTTTGATATCCTTTGATCTCACTAGTACATTTTTGAGAAAAATACCACTAGCTGAAATACTGAAGAACCCACTTACCTTGACCAGAGTGATGATCACCTTTCATATACTTACTCTTTAAGGAATTTACTATTAAAAAGTCATTAAAAATGGCTTTATGAGTGACAGAGAATCACAGACTAATTAATCCAAGACCACAAAAATTTCTTTCCCTCTTGACCCAAGCTTCTAGCAGCAAATAGCTTGTGCACTGTTACCAGTATGCTTTTATTTCAATGAATTTTGTTGAAACCTGGGTTGATTCCTGTGTTCCCTAAACAACTAAATTATCGTAGTATTTGCTGTTTGTGACATTCAGCCAGAAAATCATGTTGCCCGATAAAATGAGTTGGCATAGTAAGCAATCACTTCTTCTACCTCTTGAAGTATTCTGGTGTTTTCTTTTTTCCCTATCAGTGGAGTGACTTGGGAACTAATACTCTGTCATTTTCTAGTGACCTTGAAAACTTGCTAGTGAGAAACATGACAATGTTGTATTTCAGTTTTGCGTGACAGTCTATTTCTTCCGGACTTTCATCTGCTTTGTACAATGGAGATATTTAGTCTTATTTCCATGGTGACATATGCACACCTATCTCAGTAGAAATAAAACTGATCATTTAATGATCTTGTTCGCATCTATCACTAACTCACTCTTGGGTTCTTAAGCCCAGAGATTCTTCCTACCCAAATATCATCTTAGTGCAGACATTTCATCTATTTTAGTCTGCCTCTTCATTAATGATATTAAAAAAAAACCCGCCTTAACTTTTGAAATGTAGTTCTAATTGCATCATTTTTCCAAGGGTGTATGTAGTTTTTCTTTTTATAAGAACATTAGAGAAACTTTCTGTATCCAATTCAGCCAAAGTTCTAGTTTTAGAAAGCATTTTCTTCTCATCTCAGTGTTAATTCTTTGTATACAGAATAAGCATTTTAATTTCAAGTGAATTTTTGCATTAATGTAACAGTTCAATACAAGTGCCATGGTTAGGTTGAAAAAAAGTTAAGAGACTTAGTCAAATTGTTAGCTATGTGTTGGAATTTTGCACATAGTACAATCAATGACAGTTCCTAATTGTTAGAGTATAATTAGTATGGCTTTTCCAGAACAGAATTGGGTTGTAGAAAAATCCTAAGACCCCACACCCCCCAATTAAATATGAAAGCTCTATCTTCTCTCCCCCTCCCCCCCAGTCTTGGATTTATTTGTGGCATTAGCAACCAAGTGATACTTTAATGCTCAGTTTTAAACCTAATATTTAATGTTGCTTTCTTCTGGTTGAGTGAAACATCTTTGTTTTTTTTCCCCTTTTGGAAAAGACTCCAGAAAGGATTGATTATTCAGCAAATGCAGTAGTAATGATAGATTGACTAAATCTGGTGTCCCAACTAAGGAGTTTTTGTTTAAATACTTAATCAAACATTCCCTGTTGGTATTGAAAGTATATTAGAACACTGCTGGTTGACATTCCTCTTACTTTTAAAAATGCATTTTAAGATATGACTTTATAATTCATTTATTTGGTGCTTTACTGTCAATACAAGATAATTTGCAAGAACTTTTCCATCCTAACTTGGAACCTTCTTATTCCAATATTTTTTCCTTTCTGTTAGGTGTTTTGCCCCTACATGTGATGATTAGGAAGGATTGGAATATGTTACATCCATTATTTTCATTTTTAAGAACTTTGTAACCTTCCTGCAAAATGTTTTCTACTGTAGGCTCAGGAAGCTACAAGCTGTGTAAGTGTACTGCTACCAAACAGGACAGAATCCTACCCTACATAGAAAAAAATGGGTTGTCATAATTTCAGAGAATGGAGTAGGGAGGTAACAGGTAGGGAATGTACTGTCATATTGTAGCACTTCTAAACTGTAGCATCTGGTCTATCTACATTAAAAATCTTGCTCTGATTAGATGTTGAAAATAAACCCCTAGAAAACAACAGCATAAATGGTCTCTAGAATCAAGGGTACAATATAAAACCAAACACCTGAAAAGAACATCAGTTAAACAGTCAGGTTTTGCTTCTTTTTTGATGTGGGATGTGTTTGTAGACGCTTCAGTCTTTATTGGGGTGGTGTTTGGAGGGGTACTTTTCCAGTTATGCCTCTAAAAATAAAGATATAGCCAAAGGCAGCCAAAAACCATTCCTTGCTCTTTTAATCCTCTGCTAATGTGTCACCTGTTGGTATATTTTATAGTATTTCTCCTTTGGAAGCAGTGTTTCAATTTAAATTACTATGTTCTTTTTATTAACACAGCTGGGTTTCTACTTTCATATGTAGTAAAGGAGTCTGAATGTATCCATTGTTTCCCTCAAGTGTTTTAAATACCTCTTTTGAGAAACAAGTCAGAGAAGAAGGCTTTTACTGAAACTAAAAGTGTGGCTGGAATCTGGCATTGAAGATTTAATAAAAGTAAAATCCTGAATGCTTTTTCTGAGCGATAGTGAATATCTCTAACTTTAACCCAGCTGCTCTTTCCTATTACTATTGAAGATGTTCTTTGCTCCTTGTTTCTATACTTTGATAATTTCACAAATCTGTTATTTCATTGCTGTGAGCTCATACTCCACCAATGACATAAACAAACGTGTCTTATCTAAATTGTATCTCACTTAGCACAGTGTTCCATACACAGTAAGTGCTTAATAAATGTTGGTTGAATTTAGTTTTGTCATGATGTATAGCATATATCTTCCTCAGTTTTCTAATCTCCTTTTCCCCCCAGCACTTCTGCTTTATAATTAACCTTGTCAGTATTGACAAGCACCTCCATTATTATTCCTTTGAGTCACATGGAACTCTGTTATAAGGATTTCTGTCATCTTATTTTTAAAACATCTAAAATATTCTGCTGAGGACCCCTTGGAATTAGGTTTTAGATTGATCAAGCCTTTAAATAATTTAACACAGAAATTTCTTGGTGATACCAAAACAAAAGTATATTTTTGGAAACAACTCTTTCATAATGTATATAAATGTCTGAGAATTATTTGGGATCTCTTATGTATACTGTTTGAAACAAATTCTTTTTCCATTTCTAAATCATTTCTTAATTGTATTCAGTGATGTTTATATGTATATGTAAATATATAAATTTATATAAAGAGGGGAAACAGCCTTTGTAATAGAGAGCATGAAATATTTTTAATATTTAAAATAAAATACATTGAGAGCATTATGTGACTATTGCATTTTTTTCTAATCAGAGAAGTCAAGAATCAAAACTACTCTCTACCCTGTGCCTTAAATCCTCTGATCTAATTCCTTAGCTTCCTTAAATGTATGACCTGCTCCTTCATTCCACCTCAGCCATACAGGAATGGTCAGATACTTTACTTCACTATTACCCACAAGTATACCACTTCCCTAAGTAGAAATTTTGACCTCTATCTCACCATAATCTCTTACTATTCTACACCTCCCTATGCCACATCCCTCCTAAACTTGTTCTTTGCCTGCATCAAGAATTCTAATCCATTCATCCTGCAATACTAGAATTTTCAACCTCTCCTTATTGGTTCCTTCTGTATTGCCTTCGAAGGTATTCTCTAGGGTCCACCATACTTAAGAAGCCACTTGACTTTATCATCCCCTCAAGCTAACATCCTATATCTCTCCTCCTTTCTCAGCTACACTCCTTGAGAAAGCTGTCTATAATTGTTGCCTCCAGTTTGCCTCTTCTCCTTAAGACTTTGCTGTCTAGCAACTGGTCTCATTCCTCAATTGGAACTACTCTCCAAAGTTAACAGTGATCTCTGAATTGCCAGATGTGATGATCTTTTCTCAGTCCTTATTCTTCTTGATGTTTCTGCTGCATTTGACACTGTTGATCACCATCTCCTGGTTAGCCTGGTTATCTGTCTGATCATTTCATCTCAGTCATCTTTGCTGACTCATCACAACATACTCCATAAATGTGCATGTTGCCCATTATTCTGTCCCAGGCCCTTTTTTCCCTTTACACTCTGTCAATGAACTCTAAGTTAACTTTTATGCCTATGCCAATGACTCAGATCTATATACACAGACTCGATCTTTCTCCAAGCTTATTAGATATTTCAAATTGTATTTCCATGGAGACATCTTGAATTCAACATGTCCGAAACAGCTACTGATTCCCCCAAGCTTTCACTCTTCCAAACAGATATTTTTATTAAAGTCAGCACCATGCATCCAGTTTCTCAGGTTCATAACCTCAGCATTATCTTCAATTCCTCGATTTCCATTAGCTCATATCTAATATATTGCCAAGTCTTGCCATTTCTCCCTCTATAACATCTCTTCCATCCAACCCCTTTGTTTTTTATTTATTTTGATTTATCAACAATCATTTCCATATGCTTTTGAGTTTAAAATTTTTCTGCCCCTTCCTCTCCACCACCCTCCCCAAGACGGCGCACAATCTGATATAGGCTATACACATATATTCATATTAAACATATTTTCATATTAGTGATGTTGTAAGTAAGAATTAGAACCAATAGGAGGAGCCACTAGAAAGAGGAAACAAAACTCAACAGAAGAGAAAAAAAATAGTAAATAGTATTGCTTCAATCTGCATTCAAATGCCATAGTTCTTTCTTTGGATGTGGATAGCATTTTCCATCACGAGGCTTTTGGAGATGTCTTAGATCCTTGTGTTGCTGGAAATGGTTAAGTTTATCAATATTAGTCATCACACAACATGGCTGTTACTATGTACACAACCCCTTCTTCCTACTCACTTTAATCCATCCTCGCCTCTCACCCAGATTATTGCAACAACTTCCTAATTGGGCTCTCACAACTCCAGTTTGTCGTACACATTGCTATACACTGCACATAGTAATTCTCCTTAAGTACAGATCTGATGATGTCACTCTTCATTTAGCTTTTAAAGTACTACAGAACCTGTCCCCAACCTATCTTTCTAGCTTCATACTCCCCCCTCACTGTTCAATACCGCCAGATTGGCCTTTTTTTCTATCACATCTCCATTCACCTTCTCTATGCCTTTGTCCTGATCCTCTTACATGCTTAGTACTTCTTTTTCTTCATTATGCAACTCAAGTCCTAACTTGCACTCAAAGCCTTTTCTGATGCTCCAACTGCCTTTGCTGTCCCTCCCAAACTATCTTGTATTGAACTACTTTATATGCTGTTGTGTTTATTTACTTTGTATTTATGCCGTATATATTTACATGTGTACTTATCTCCTCCATTACGATAAAAGCTCCTTGTAAGAGGCATTGTTTTATTCTTTGTACTTAAATCCTCAGCACTTAGTACAGGGCCTGCCACAGAATAGACACTTAATAAATAATTAATTCAAGTAGCATTCCATTCAAATAACATACTAAATGCAATGTTTGGTAAACCTGAGAACACCAGCTAATGGGGTAAGAAATTATTTTTTGACAAAAACTGCTGTGAAAGTTTGAAAGAAAAAAGTCTGACTTAGAAATTAAGCTTAGATCAACATATACACTACTATACAATAAGCTCCAAATG